TGAACAATCGTTGACACTTACGAACGTTCAAAACATTTCCATAAACTTCTTTGATATTTTTTGTGGCTACAGAGGCGTCGTTTCCCTTTTTGTATTCAAACAATATTACATGCCGAATGTGTGTCTCGTCGTGTGCCATCACTATAAGGGATTAGAGTATACTAAACGTTTAGGCGGTTCGATTAACTATTATATGTGATGTACGTTTTTTTTTTTGGGGGGGGAGGGTTAACGAGAGTAATTTCTTAACGACCTAATATATATATGAGAAAGAGAGAGCGTTGGTTTTTATTTTTACTCTCCTTTACCATATGGAGATATTACATCAAAATATACAGTATCAAGTATAAAGGTTTCAGTTTCAGTTTTAAAGAGCTAAAATTGAACGAGATAAGACTCATACATAAAACGACATGTATGCTGTTATACTAAGCAAACTGTTCATAAATATTTTATCATAGGGCATATTTATAAGATAGGTTTTTGCTCTACTATCGACAATATTAAGATATTTTTTTAATTTCTTTGGATTACAAATGCAAAAAAAAATATAGTCTTAAGCCACACAGATAAATTAATAAAAAAGTAATTGGCCTGAAAAGTAAGGTCATCATTTAATTCAAAATGAAATACCCATTATCCTTTAATTAATAATAACGTCACTATATAAACAAAATCGGCAACTATAACAACAAAATAAAATATTTACCTGTAACAACATTAAATATGCAACTATAACAACGATATCCAATCTGTAACTATAGCGACAATGTTAAATGCTTAACAATATTAAATACGTAACTATAACAACAAAGTTAAATGTGCAACTATAACAATAAAATGAAATGTTTAAACATAACGACAATATGAAATATGTAGCTATAATAACAGTATTAAGTATGTAATTATAACGATGTCATATGACCAGCGATTACAAATCCTTATACACTTTTGAAGCTCCTTCATTAAAATCAATTAAACATCATTGTAGCCAGCATTTTCTCGATACTGATGTCACTTTGTTTTACCTTATTATCAACGGATATCATAACAAATGTCTTGTTATGCTCCATATATTTATTAGACAATTCGAGTTTCAAATCATAAAGTATCAGTGGTATTTTTAGTTCATGAGTTTCTATTTCACGTCAAATACGTATACAATTATTAAGTAACTTGTGTACACAATTGTGAGCTCAAAATAGCCATCTTTTTTACATAACTTTTCCGTTATAATAGTAAATTCTTAGTAAAGAAAGAGGGATTAACATCTATAAGAAACGGGGGGAGAAGTTCGGGTTTTAGAAACTGACTACATCAGTGCTCCATTGCATCCTAGTCAGTCGCATACAAAAACAATGGATACCTAAAAAAAAGTGTACAATGTACTCATTTTCTTTATCGTATTCCTGTCAACCAATGTATAGATTTCAAAGGTTTGAATTTCAATAAGGCCAGTATATATATTATTACACAAACTAATTAATCACTTACACCATTTAAATTTAACAGGTAGTGTGGTAAACATTCAACAGCTGAAATAACGTTTCGAGAAAATTCTATAATTGACCATTAGACTAAGATGATCTTTTTTTATGTTTCGAGGATTGCGTTGACACCTCATAGTGAAAAATTATTATGATAATGTTTTGGAGGATTAGATTTAATCCCCATTATGACTGAGAGCACTCCTATATCCTGTTAATGTCCTCAGATCATTATTTATCTACAATTTTTACACCCGAGTACTCGTAGTTTCTCTTAACATCCTCAGATCGTTATCTGTCTACAATTTTGACAGCCAAGTACCCCTAGTTTCTGTTAATGTGCTCAAACCACTATCTTTCTACAATTTGTACACCCAATTGTTCGTCGATTGTGTTAACTTCCTCAGATTGTTATCTATCTACCCCTTTTTACATCCAACTATTTGTAGATTTTGTTAACTTCCTCAGATTGTTATCTATCTAAAATGTGTACACCCAACTATTCGTAGGTTCTGTTAACTTCCTCAGATTGTTATCTATCTACCCCTTTTTTACACCCAACTATTCGTATGTTCTGTTAACTTCCTCAGATTGGTTATCTATCTACCCATTTTTACATCCAACTATTTGTAGATTCTGTTAATTTCCTTATATTGTTATCTATCTACAATTTTTACACCCGTGTATTTGTAGGTTTTGTTAATATTAAACCTATCTGAGCTGCCTCTTCCGTACACCGTAAGTTAGATAAACAATGTTTCCACATATAAAGTAGGCTGAACGTAGATGTGTTATATATATGTTAATTACAAACTCGACTTATTTACACAGCGAATATAAAAACTTCTATTTGATGAGTCACAAAAATTCGTCATTCTGCACCCATTAATTGATGCAACATCTCTGCACCCACTAATATGATGCAACATTTCTGCACCCACTAATATGATGCAACATCTCTGCACCCACTAATATGATGCAACATCTCTGCACTCGCTTTTATGACTGTAACATTCTATCTAACTTTTCTTTTTACCTCTCTTTTAAACTTACTTGTAAATATTCAGTTAAGCCTAAAGGTATAAAAAAAATATGGGAAAAAGTTTTAATTTTTTATACCTGTCTCACAGTTGTAACTCTCGATAATACTTTTGCCGAATAGACTATTTCTAAGTTAAATTTATCCGCCTTTTTAACCATAAAACTTGTAATACCATGTATATTCGGAGTTTTGGGGAATTAAAGTCTTTCTTTTTGAAAAAGTGGAAATATACCTTTTTGGTTTTCTGTAAATTTATATTTGTTGCTTTTCTCTAATGGAATAAGTAGTGCAATCGAACGAAATTAATCCTTCTTTGTCCAATGTTTATTTATAATCTACACATACATATATATATACATATATATAGTGTTGTTTTAACAATTATACCATATGGAAAAAAATTTTGAAACACATCTGGGCAAAACTGTCTATTGTTTGTTGTTTGTGAAAAGTAAACTTTTAGTAGGATTGGTTTAAGATCGGTGTTACACAACAGTGTGTGTCAAAAATGGTCAATATAGATGTAATAACCCCCCAGTAGCACAGCGGTATGTCTGCGGACTTACAAC